CCATAGTTGCTCCCAGATGACCCAGCGACATGTAATCCCGCTGCGTGCAATGTCCAAGTGAAGGCATAGACGCCGGAAGTTGGGGCCGTGAATATCCCGGTTCTTTTATTGTAGCCACTTCCAAGGTTTGTCTCCACTGAATCAAAGATTAAAGTCGTTCCAATGGGTGGAGCTTTAAAGTTGTAAGAATAGTATGCATAAAACGCAACATGTGTTTTCTGATTCAGGCATTCCAGTGTTCGGGTGCAACCTGAAATATTAAATCCGGGGTAGTCAATTCATATGCTAGTATATTTTCAGATGGTTATTATATTATACTTTGGCGTAAAACATGCTGAGCTACGACACCTAGGAACCCTTTAAATTATGTCAAAGCCATTAGAAAAAGAAATATATATATATATATATATTTAATAAAAGGTAAAAAGAAAACACAAAAATCCTCAGTTAAGCTTTAGCGCTTTCATTTTTCAATCTTCAGAAGCTTACAATCTTATTTAAATTTTGGATATATATATATATATATATATATATATATATATATATATATATATATATATATATATATATATATATATATATATATATATATATATATATATATATATATATATATATATATATAGATCTTTATTTATTTATTTATTTATTTATTTACTTACGGTGTGTTTTGTTTTTAATTTCTCTCTTGAGATAAGAATTTTCCGTTTCCAGACGCTGAACATGATTTTTTAATATTTGAACATCGTTCATAACTTGCATGACATTTTGCACGAGTTGTATTTTCTGAGTCAAATCCTGATTGATTAAAATTTCTTTCAAATCACCCTTTCTATCGATAGTTAAATTCGCGGAAGTTTTGGTATTAGTGAGCACAGCTTCACCATAGCTTTTCCCCTCAAACACTATGACAAATGCTGCAAGGATGGAAAGGTATACCGAGTACTCCATTATAAACTTAGTTAGTACAATTCAAACAACTGTAGTGCTTTTATATATATATATATATATATTCTGTATTACATATATAATTACATAATATGCAAAAACTTTTATTAGATAACATCTTATTAAACTAATTTTGTGATTTAATTGCAGGAGGTACATAGCTCAGAAAGCCTTTTGTAAAACCTTGATGATTTGCGAAATTGGAAAAAGTAGATTTCTCATACTGATAATGTAAAGTCGTTCAGGAAATTACTTGATACTTTTAAGGACGGTATATTTTTATCAATAGGAGACAAATGTCCATTTCAAATCGTTATTTATTCATTTTTTATTTTCCAAATATGTCTGACTTATACTGTGAGAATATATATAATTTTTTTTATTTATAAAATTTGTACCAGGTAAATATTTTTCTTGCAGTATGCGAGAAAAATATATATATCTTATACAAATTATAATTATGTAGCATTTAAAACAGGTTCATAATTCTGTTAGTAAAAAGTTTTTTTTAGGTTTCATATTATTTTCATATACGACTACATGTGACTCTCTCTCTCTCTCTCTCTCTCTCTCTCTCTCTCTCTCTCTCTCTCTCTCTCTCTCTCTCTCTCTCTCTCTCTCTCTCTCTCTCTCTCGTGGACGTTTACATGCAGATATATATAATTATTATTGCTAATCATTATCAATTTCATAAAGTAATTGACAGGAATTAACAAATTATTAGCTAGTATCTTGATATACTTCACTTATGCTACGTTCCCACTGTCGTGCGGTAAGTTATGCACATCACGATAGATCAATCGTAGTTGATCGCAGAGTTTCTATTGAATTTTATGTCAAGATACGAAGAGATGCGTATAGGTGCGTTTTCATACGTTTCGTAACGCTTTTATGCGCTATGGCCACGATGGATAAATTTCATGAGATGCGATCTCTGACGATCTGACTACCGTTCGGATAAGATAAGTTACGTTTCAATAGGATTATTAAGATTTAGTCGAAAAGGGACCTCGATTTGTCATGAATATCACGATCTGAGTTCTCGATTAGAAAGGATCTCCTACGTTTTAATACGTACTCTTACGATACAATACGTTCATCGCGCACTCTTGCGCTAATGTACGATAAAATAACACGTTCTTTGTAATGTCTTTCACGATCAGGATCAAGATAGAACACGCTTTGAGCTACGATTTTACCCCGACAGACATATAAAAATCTGGCTATACTGAGTCATTTATATTTTATCTGTTAAAAAGTAAACAAAACATAAACATAAAATCAATAATAATGGCAGAAGTGGAAGTTGATGACAACTTCATAAACGTGGTGTTTGTAGTTTAACTTTGGCCATATGTTATTGCTGTCAAAGTAGAGCAAAGGCAGCAGTATAACTGTTTTTCTTATCTTTTTTATTTTTTTTCACCAGTGTTACCTCTGATCGAACGGGTTCAGGTTCAGAAGAAGATAGGTTTTCCCCTCTCTTACTTTTTTTGTACTTGTTTAAGGTGGCATTTTAAAAATATTTTTCCAAGACTCTAACATTTTTTTTAATCGGGAAAAAAACGCATTCAATTTTCCCGTTATTTCTGCAAGCTTAAGTTCTCGCAATATAGCGTGATTGTCCGCAACAAAGCGTTAACACTCGTGTCTAATGGCGTTTACTCTCATACGTCCGTATCATATCGTCTTTGAGCGGGAAAATACCGTGTCAGCACGTGAGCAGTAGGACCACGCAAAGCGTCACAGATAGTGACAGAACGTGAGGCATCCCAACGAATCGCCACTCAGCGGGATGTTTGTTCTGTCCGAGATCGATACCGATGATCACGATATGAAAGCCATATTAGATGCGTTTACTAATACTTGTATCCAACCGAAACAAATCTTGTGTTCACACGCGGCTATCGTGCTGAGGCTAGTTACGATGTAATGCGATTTGATGCGATGATAACGATTAAAATTTAATCGTGTTTATCGTAGAAAATTTTTTGACAGTCAAAAAAAATTTCACGATCAGGATTCGGTTGCACGAACGATAATTAAATTTAACTAGCCGTTAACTTTGTGTTAACGCTACATTAAAATTAACAGCAAGTTAAATCGGTTGCACAAAAGTTTACTACCAGTTAAACCTTAGTTAATTTTGTGATTTAATTAACAGATTTAGCTTAGGTTACATAGGTACATTAAATATTTAATTAAACATTTCAATCAAAATTGAGGAATTTTTATCATTTCAAAACTTGTTTGCGATGAAGGACGAACTTATACAGATAAAATATAAAAGTCTGACATGAGTAAAACACACATTTGATCCTGATTTCAATTTAGACACGATTGCATTGTTAGGGCTGTGTCAATATCTTGGTACGTATGAATGTACATGTAAGTTGATAAAAAACGTTTATTCCATGAACCCCAGGCACAAAATATTAAGAAGGGGGTGGGGTGGGATGGGGTTGTTCCTCTCCCCCTTTTAAGAGAGTTATTTATTTTTTTTATAATTATTATTTTTAGTTTCAAATTCAACGTCTAGTGTTAGAATTAAATACAGAAAAAAACTACATGTACAGGAATTCGTTGAAACTGTATTGTTTATATTGCGTGTAAATTGATATTTCAATGTTAAATTCATGTTAGAAGAAACTACTTTTAATAATATATAAAGCAATATCCGGTAAAAGGATATCATTCTATCACGTAAATTTTCTTTAGCAAATCCACGTCATTTTAATTATGACGTCAGTAATCTTTCACCATAGGTAAGGGAAGTGCACGCGTCGAACGATTTTAACAGAGAGTTAACTATAAAACATCAATTAAATCTGAGTTAACTAATTAAACTTTAATTGACTTTCGAACAACAACAATTTAATTGACAGTTATGTAACTTATCATTAAAAATTTAACAGCTAGTTACCGCATTAACTTGAAGTTAATTTAACTATCGTTCGTGCAACCGAATCCAGCACGATAGCCGCGAGTGAACACAAGATCTGTTTCGGTTGGATACGATCACTACGATTTGTCCACGTTCGAGTCCCCGATTTTAATCGCGGCGCCAATCGTGATAGTGGGAACATAACATTAATACTGAGTATAACAATACATTGGTACCTCTACACACACGACGTATTTGTCCATGTAAAGCATACTATGCTCGATACATAAAAATACTAAAGATTTAAAGTCTACAACTTATGTCTTAAGCTATTTCAAGTCCACTGTAAAGAATATTTCCACTAAACGGATATAATTATTTTCTTGTTACACATTCCTTATCACACAGTGTCAATAATTATTTCCTTCTCTAATTGCAAGTCAACAGTGTTTACCACTTCTTTACGTTATTAACCTTCTTTACGTTATTAACACTTTAATAGAAGTACATGTTTAAAAAGGCTAAATACTTATTCATGAGGTCTCTCAGACAATTGCCAAAACCTCATTTACAGCAAAACCTGTTCAACAAAGCGAACGTTAGGGAACGCTAGCCAAATTTCCTTATACCTCCAACAGAAATGTTCTATATATAGAGCTAGCTCTGTTGAACAGAATTCAGGTGCTTAGGAGGAGTAAGCTTCCCCTGTCGACCGGTCAACCTGCCGAGAATATTGATCAGAAAGACAGGATATTCCATAGTTAAATTCAGTATAAAATCAAAACCTTTATGATTGTTAAGAAAAACATCAACCAAAACCCATGATTGGTTACATATGCTAACAAGGCCATAACATGTACAACGACAATAGAATTGCGACTTGAAACGAGATTGTTGAAATCCCTGTAACCTCAATTTATCTGCCGGTAGCCTGGTCGGTTTAAAAATTGATCATACTCAGAACATGCTCTTGTGTATCGAATAAGTTAGTAAACAAAAACTTCATATGTAGGAGATGGCTAAGTATTACAACAAAAAATAGATAACGTTGACGATGAAAAACGCTGAAATATTGTTTGGCATACAATTTAGTTGTTAATTGGCCCTTATAGTCTATAGTCAAAACGACATCCAAATATGAAACTGAAGTGGCAGACTCTGATGTGTATTTTATTTAGAGTTCACTGGGATATATCGAGTCGACATATGAATGGAAATAACTATACTGTTATGGGTCTCGTGACATAGCAAGTTCATGGTTCTCCATGGGAGGAAAGTATTTCCCGAGGCGGCGAAGGAATTAGTTTTCTACCGAGAGGACCATAAACTTGATTTTTCCTGAGGAACTATTCATTAAATGTTTTATTACGTATATGGAAACAATCATATGAGATTTATTAAACGAGAAACATTTTTTAAAACAATATAGAGGCATGCAAGTTATCACAATTTTAAAAAATAATAAAGCAACCTACATGTACTGCGATAAAGAAATAATAGCATAAACGATTTTCATATAATGAAGCAATCGAGAAAAAGAAAATTACTGAAACAAGTTCTTTTTTGAATAAATAAATTTCATTTAAAATTCATACACTCATTATGCGAATGTTTACTCCCGATAAATTTTACAGTTGAAACATTTCCAACATTCATATTTGGAAAAAAATGCAAACTTGATAAAAAAGGGTCCATCGTCATCACCCAAAATAGAGTATTTTAAATGATATGACCACGTTACATTTCAAATGCACAAGCCGACTTGCGTTACAACGTTACAAAGTTGACTATCTTGAACTATTTCTTAACGTCTTTTGAATATATATATATCTATGCAAGTGAGAATAAAAACATGAATCATGTTATAAATGAATCATGCAATTTGAAATCCAGAAAAAGAAGTTCGGCCATATTCATCGTCGCTGTACATTCCTCCCTGACCGTTAAACTTATCAGATACAATTTTTATTTTGTCCCCAAGGCTTAGACTCAAAACAACAAAACCAGTAGCACTGTCGTCATCATTCTTTCTTTCAGAATCAGCCTTAATCGACCCTCTTGTTACTCCGTTTTGTTTTATGGACGCATTCATCTCGCCATATTCATTGCCAGATGATCCAGCGACGTGTAGTCCTGCTGCGTTCACGGTCCAAGTAAAGGCATAGACCCCTGATGATGGAGTAGTAAATATTCCAGTTCTATTATGGTACCCGTTGCCAAGGTTTGTGATTACTGAATCAAAGACTAAGGTTGTCCCAGTGGTTAGAGCTTTGAAATTGTTAGAGTAGTACGCATAAAACGCAACACGTGTTTTCTGATCCAGGCATTCCAGTGTCCTTGTGCAACCTGAAACATTAAATCTATGGTATTTATATATATAATACATATCCATTTTCTGATGGTTATTACTAGTATATTAAATTTGGCGCAAAACAGGCTGAAGTATGACACTTATGAACCCTAGATAAAAATGACAAAGACATTAGGAACAGAAACCATTTCGACTGTCTTGTTATAATTCCTAGCTTTCCAGTTAAGATTGATTGATTTATATTGTAGTAGTTTCACTCAATTATTTTTCACTTATATAGAGACATGACCATTTATACCGATGAAGGGCTTTACTCGCCACTAAGGTCTATTATAAGCTATTGCAGGATCTATATTATGCCAACGTCTCCTGTGACATAGAGCCTGGGGTTTTAATGATTCATCCGTAAGACCCGCAACTTTCACTTCAAAGTGCCGAGCGCTTGGTTAAGAATCGCATGCTACATTTTTGTTCATGACACATTAAGTTTGACTGACCCAGTGTAAGCTGTCATTTATCAATCGGCAATCCTCGGCTGACTCCACTAAGCTACATACAAAAAGTGCGAGGCCGACCGAGGATCACAGACTGTTCAGTTTGACGCGATGATGCGATTTTCTAAATATAGAGAAGTAAACAACAAGCGATCTGCCTTATTATTGATAAAGAAAACAAGCTGCAAATAAATCATAAAGAGTTCGACACACACAATTGCCTGGATGATGGGGGTTCTTCACAATATACACTGTATGTTCTTATGTATAGTCTTCTTGGCTATTACCTAAATGATGGCCAGAAATCTATAGAATCTTCTAACACGTGTGTGCAAAAATCCTCTGCAGCCGAGGCGTGGATCCAAGAATTCACAGAAAAACGACATCAAATTTAAAACATTCACATAAGTAATCGCATTACTAACTAATAGGAATTGATGGTAAAAACTTTACAATTTACATTAAAAAATATTACCCTTGTGATTATTCAAAGGAATGGCAATGCAAAGTAAAATTCAAACAATTATAGTATGGCTTACGAGGCAAAATTTGATAAAAAAAAAATCAAATTATAAAGGGAGAATGGACACTTTTGTCATTAAGAGTTATCTCTATTGTGGATTAAGTTTACTATGTGAAAGTTCTAGAATATATGTCAATGAAACGTGTCATAAACTTTGTAGTTTTAAAAATTGAATCATGATATTATTTTGACAATTTTTAGAAAATCAGATCTACAAATCTGTGTACCAGCCCTTTTAACTTTGTACTGCTGTAATTGTTCAATGCCAGCCCCTCCCTTATCCACACTTTTTGTTCGAGTATAGTCATGTACAAACAAAATGAATTTGTTTTTCGAAAAAATAAAAAAAAAGTTTTAAAATTCCCTTCTCATCCAAAAAATAGGATTTTGGAGTTTGATCACTACCCTTTTTCCTAATCTAAACTTGTTCAGGTAAGCTGCAATTCCCCTTCCTAAGAAGAACAGAATAATATGCAATAGCTGAGAAAAAATATAACACTCCACTGTTTATTCTGTAACATTAATGAAGCCAAAGAGATGACATTTCAGGCTTTCTGGTAAGCCAAACTTGTATCTTCTTAGTTCCGTTTATATTACATCTGTGAAAAAGGGGATTTGAATTCCTTCATAAGTTTTGCTCACCGGTTTTCCGGTTTTAAAAGATGCTATATATGTGAGTCATTAAAACACTTACTTTCACTCCTTGTTTAATCACATCTCTTTGAAACTAGACCTCGAACTGGACCAAAAACTAAAGCAGATTTTTAATTTGCAAAGTTACTTTCAAAAGCGCTATAGCATAGAAATATATGTTACATTCCTTTTTAAAAAAAATAAAAAAGCATATTTACTTTAATGTAAATTAGAAAGTTATATTAATCAGACAAATTTAAATTTTGGTCTTAGTTGTAAGTTCCTTTGTAAAACAGACCACTGGAATCGATTCGCATTAGGTGCACCACGCCAAGACTAAAGGTAAGCATATTAGGTAGCTTGACTCTTCCTTCGCCAAGCGCCCAGCATTAGAAGTGAAAGTAACGAGTCACAGTACTAGTGTTGCCTCCAAATGAGTCGAAAAAAATCTCGACTTAGGTGTTAAAAAGCATACGACCAATCAATATCAATCTTTCAAATGTTTATGACTTGATTAAAAAATCTCAAAATAATCTTCATGTTCAGATGTTAATTAATGCGTAAGTTCTAGTCATATTACACGCATCGAAGTGTCCACGATTTTCGTCGTTATTCCCCAATCTTGACAAAGAACACTTGGCAAAGTGTGACCAGTCGGCAGGGGATACTCAATCCTCCATAGCACCTGCTCCCACCTCTGATTTTTTGTTAAGGTAGGATTCTCATATATCTTGTATTTGAAAATTAATTAAATTATTAGAAAATAAAGAAGACAATATCACTAAATGATGGTATCAGTGAGATTATATTAGAGGCAAGGTCAGTTCAAGGTCATAACTTTTTCCCTGGACATTTGGAAAAAATACTGTCGACAATCGTGCGATCCCTACATGCATTTCAAATGATTGGATTTTTTTCTTTTGCATAAAAAGAAACTACAATATAGGGCCTACAAGATTATTTTACTTAGTTGACATACATACTGTAATTTAACTTAAATGAATATTGGCTAATCCAATGTTTCTCGGCTTTTCGTAAATATTTAGGATATGTTAGTTATATAAATTATATATATGCTTCCTATATTTAAGTTTTTCTTATTTCTTATATTTTTTTCTTATATGGTAAAGTTGTCATACAAAGATACAAAAGCTACAAAAGCAAAACATTTTGATCGTTTATTAAGAGAGAAAAAAACGCTTTTTACAGCGGATTTATGGCTCAAATTTGTATTGAGATTGAAAGCTTTTAAAATCTAACTGATTCTAGTTTGTTTAAAAAATGATATTTATTTGATATATTTTAAAACTTCACTCATTATTTATTTAACTTACATTTGAAAATCTCTCCAAGTCTTTGATTGTGTAAAAATATTAACTAAATTCATTGTTTTATGATAATTTTGAGAGGCAGAAAAGAAAATATTTTCATATGCCACAAACGGCCATTGTTGAAAATCCGATATTTTGAAAAGTATACATCGTATTCTGTTGAATTTTTCAGGTCTGATTTGAAATAAATAAAGCTTCCATCATGTGTAATGTCATAGCTAAATGTCGATTTATAGGAATTTTATCAAAGTTGTGACATTACTTTTGGATTCACCCTTTGTAACTAAGCAAAAAAAAAAACCACAATAAAACTCATTCTCGAATGAATGGAAATTCCAGCATGATTATTGTGTATTTCGTTGCCATGGCAACTGAAATTATATTTTTATAACCATTTTCAGAATCTACACAATACCTGCTTTCAGAATATATATACATTGGTTTATTCAAAAATTTCAAGAAATATCCGAAAGAATGCATTGAAATCTTAATATCAATTTGTCTAGAAATGCTTAAAATCTTTGCCATGGAAGGGGTTAATATAAAAGACATAAGCAAATATACTTTGAATATTATTCTAGTCAGAATCCAGGGAAGAATACTACCTTAATGAACTTTTTAGCTTGAAAATTGTTCTTTGTCGCTGTTATATTTTATAGGTTAAAGTATATGCTATACACAAAAATTAAAATTTTTTCTACTGGCATAAAGAACTAATCAGATTGAGTACTTCATTTTTTGTGTTGATCAAATGATTTACAAATTCTTGTTTGATAAAGGAATTTTCTGCTGTTTGAACACCACCATTTTTTTTAGCTGCAGATCTGTAGCTCTCCGAAAAAATAAATTGATAGACCGGAGAGCTACAGTGTAACCCATTGAAAAAACTGTATATTTATTGCGCACAAAAAAGTGCGCTCGCTTCTCGATTTATTTCTCCATATTTTTAAAACTGTTATCTCAAAATATTACTAACCGTGCGTTCCTAACATATTCTTTCGCTGTTTCCACAACCAAATATTCCTCAAAACTGTTGTTAATAGTCCTTCTGACCCTGATATTGTAATCATCGAACATTTCACTTATTTATACTGCCATTTTGGTTTCAAAGATAATTCGGTCCAATTTGCTTCTTTCAGATGTCAACTTCGAGAGTACTTGATTGAGGATAAAGGAATTTTTTGAAATCTTTTTTTTCTTTTTTGCAATTGAGATAAGAAATTGGAAGAATTAACCGAGAAGCGAGCGCACTTTTTTGTGTGCAATTAATATACAGTTTTTCCAGTGGGTGGCACTGTAGCTCTCCGGTCTATCAATGTATTTTTTTTTTCGGAGAGCTACAGATCTGCAGCTACATTTTTTTAAATTCCCATCCTTTATTTGAATATAAATATATTTTCTTCCTATATTTGAAAAAAATTGCTTTTCTTTCAATTTTAAAACGTTGTGCTAACACTTACTGTTTGTTTTGTAATCAATTTCTGCCTTGAGATGGGAATTTTCCGTTTCCAGACGCTGTACATCATTCTTTAATTTTTGAACATCGTTCATAACTTTTATGACATTTTGCGCGAGTTGTATCTTCTGAGTCAAATCCTGATTGATTAAAATTTTGTTCAGATCACCCTCTCTATCAGTAGTTAAATTCGAGGAAGTGAGCACAGGTTCAACATAGTTATTTCCGTCAAATATTAGGACAAATGTCACAAAAACAAAAAGGCTTAAAGTGTACTCCATGATTAACTCAACTACGTACAGAAACAACTGATGTTTTATTTCAAATTCGTCTTTTTCTTTTATTTATATATATCAGCAATTTTCAGGATGTTAGTAACTGCTAAAGCACTTATTTTCAGATGGCGCAACATTTATACACAATGACTACTTTTCTAGGCTATTTAAAATCTTCAAAGTTGTTTTCTGGATTATCTATTTGAAAACCATTTCATTAGAGAAGGTTAATTTAAACTAATTTTGTGATCTAATTAAACAAAGTGTATAGCTTCCTTAGATAACCTTTTGCCACACCAGGATGTTTTGGGAAATTGGAAGAATAGATTTCTCATACTGATAATGTAAAGTTGTGCAAAGGACAGTATATTGTTATATTTTAATAATAATTAAAAAAAAAAGCAAATGTTCAAATAAAATCGTTATTTCAGTGTTCTCCATGAGCTGTTTTACTGTGTTGCTCCCGACACAGTAAAATTTTCTCCGACACAGTAACGGTTCAATTTCATGCATGCGACACAGTAAAGATCTAAACAGACAAATTCTCTCTAACCATGCTAACTGAAACTTTAATCAAACAATTCTACCGTCGTTCAATTCAAAAAGTTATAACACTTAATTACTAGGGCTTCACCTTGAGTAATCAATCAATTATCTCCTAGACCCTTGCCGGAGAACCCTGTTATTTTATTTTATTTTTTTAAATATTTCTGATATTGTGAGAAAAGTATAGCTCTGATACAAAATATCATTAGGTAGCATTTAAAACAGGTTTATATCTGTTAATAAAAAGTTTTTCTTTAAGCTTCATGTTCTATTGATGGCTGAAAAATTGCCGACTCGGCGATAAACAGTATCCAATAAATCAATCTTTTGATATATACGACTTCATGTGACTCTCTCTCTCTCTCTCTCTCTCTCTCTCTCTCTCTCTCTCTCTCATGAAAATGCCGATGACATCACTGTTTACCTACTGAGATAAACTCGCATCTCATTGTAATGATAACGATCGAGAGAATTCGAGTTAACTGTTTTAATCCAGATAAAGAAAGGTAACTAGTCTTGATTGGAAAACATGGTATGCAATCAACAGCTGTCATATTCTGAGAGTCATAGTACTTAGTTTTATTATAGGGGTAGACATGAATTATCTTCCTTTTCGGTAATTCTTATCATATAATGGTAGCTCATGTTTCCATATTTTAGATCTATTTTTCTAAAACATCTAGTTTTCAATTGAATGACGTCATAATACCAATGACATCTCGATACCAATGTCGTCATAATGCCTTTTGCATTATTCTTGGTTACCGTTTAGTTGCATATTTTTTTACGTTGTTCTTTGTACAATACAATGGCAAGTTCATCGACGGTAAGTCGTGGGGAAAATTCTTACATGTGACATAATTTAATTTTTATCTATGTAACGCTATACTAGTATATAATCCTTGATAATTAAGTTAAACATTTAATTAAATTGGTTTCAGATAGTGCGAAGCATCCTAGATGAGGTCATTTTCAAGGTCTACAGATATTGTACTACTGAGTACAGGTATGTAAAACAGACACTAAAATTATATTTTTGATTCACTAGCGTATTTTACAAATGTTATTTATACCAATTTTATTAAACCTGTGATAAGTCTGCATGGAGATTAAGCCTGTTTGTTTCTTCCTCTCAGCAGTGCCAAAGAACAGAAAAATATGCTTCCTGCTGTACTCGGAGCTTCTGATGACAAAATACATGTAATTGCAAAACAGGATTTCTACGCGGAGCAGCAAATAACGATGAAAAAGGTAAAATAAAAGACTAGTACTCTGTTAAATAGATAATGTTGAAAAAATGACGAATGCTTTCCTGGAAGAAAAAAAATCGTTATACCGTAGATAGCACCATTTCTTCTACCAGGAATAGCACAATTTACTCCTTGAAAAATTGAGTGCAGAGGAGTACAATTAAATCAATTGTTATTTATTCTTAATCAACAGATATTTCGCAGAGTTGCTCGAGAGACTGTGCGAGATTTAATTATTCTTGCAACAAAACAGGCTGCCGCAAGGTAAATGATTTATAATTGAAAATGTTACATTCTCTAGAAAATAAATTGTCTTTTGCCCTTCTAAGTCGTACAAGACAAATATCATTTGTATATTTCAAGAGCGAAATGTACAGTTTAGTGCATGTTAAATATCAGGTATAACATGTTGAACTTTTTTTTTCATTTTTGCTTTTAGCCCAGACGATGGACAGTTGGTGAAAACTTCACAATTCCGATTCGCGAATTATGACCCTCAAAAGAGTGCATACATGTACCAACAACATGTGGACAATAAGAAAGTGAAAATACACAAGGTATCTATTGATCAGAAAAATATTTATTTCAAATACCTATAAATTCATATTATATTTCTTATATTAGACGTACACACTGAATATAATTTTCTCCTTTAATTAAGTGCTTTGTTTTAACTTTCAGAAACTGCAGGTTAAAGTTACGATTGGATCAGAAATTGTCCAATACACACTCAGATGCCCGGCCATTCGTGCAAAAGTTGCAGAAGGAAACATAGCGGCGATACAAAAATCTAATGAAGCCCAAAGCGAAATAACCTCAACGGTATGAAAGTTATTTGTATGCTGAATTCATTGGAAATGCATTCTTCTAAATGTAATTAATCCTCTTAAATGTTCTTCATGGTCGTAGGAAAAATTTTGGCGATATACATGTAATAGTACTAGTATTCTGTATAAAACACTCAGTATACTACAGAAAACGTACAGTAATGAAATATATAGCTGTGCCCCCCCCCCCCCCATTGAAATGTCCCCCTATGTAGGGTCGTTTTTGTTGTAAATTATACATAAGGATGCATCTGTATGCATTTTTATATACTGTAGATTGGCAAATATTTACGATGGTTTTAATTTCGCTATGTTCGCGATTTGTTAATTTTCCGCCAAATTAAACCCATCGTAAATTGTATTATTTGTTTTTAAAGCGTTTAAATGCTTATACGAAATTTTGAATTAATTTCTTGCAGCGTGAAATTAAAACCATCGCAATTGGTACTTTTTGAGATCGTGAAATTTTAACACCGTGGAATTAAAACGACTTACAGTATTATATATATACAGTAGACATATGTTATCTCGAACTGCATTATCTCGTAAACCGATATATCTCGAATACCAGAGATATGTTGGAGTGGGTTGAAAGTCCCAAATATATTTTATTTATATTTAACCCCCCCCCCTAACCCTGTAATCCAATTCATTGCTCGGATATTCCGATGTTTTATCCAATAGAGTTAAAGATAACGCAGTTTGATTATATTACAGTATATGATGACCTTTACATTTGAAAGACGAAAGAAGAGATTAAATTGAATTGATTTTTATCACTGACAGTAGAGATTACATATTTATCCTTTTTTGACAGCCATTGTACAAAGCTGCTGAGAAAACTGCGGTTGATCCTAAGACCCTAGCTGGACCTGACTGCAATATTCCTGGGTATGTATGTGTTTCTTGTATAATATAACTGCCTATTGACATCTGTCATTTGAAATATGAGACAAAACAAGAAAATTATAAAGTTAACATTACTTTTGTTTAACTATTTACTAAATTATTCCTGATTACAGACCAGCTATAGTCGACGTACATGAACATATACCTGCCTATGTACAATCTGAAGCAGATGCAAGCCACAAAACAGTATGTTTTTCACTATTTGATATTCAAGCGATTTTCAATGTTTAATTCATAGGCTTTTTTTTTTGTTTTGAAAATAGACAAATGAAATAAAAACGAAACGAAACGAAACTCTAACAAAGAAGTTATGTAAGTTTTTTTAATACTTATAGGAGGACAATCCTGAGCGAAAAGGCTGGAGAAGATTTCTGTGTTGTGGCAATCCAAAGAAAAAACAGGTAAACTGTCCTCTTCCTATCATTATCTGATGCGTTTTCTGGAGGCCTCACTCTTATATGATTGTGTAATATACATGTAATGTTTATTAAACATGATAACTGCATTTATATGTTTAAATAACGAATATAATTTTTTATTTTCAACAGGAGAAAGAGAAGAAAAAGAAGTTGGGGCTGCTGAACAGACTGCGTCGATTTTTTGCCCGTCGTTAAATTGTCTGAAATTTGGGCCTAGTTGATTCCTAGTTTATCATTTATGTGTCAGAAGATATTTGAAGATAATATTTAATTAATTCAAAGAATATGTATATGATTTCATTTGGACAACTCACTTTCTATAACGGTTACCATCATTTTGAGATTTTAAGTTAAAGATGTGAATTTATTTTTTAAATAAATCAAATTTATATTCTTGTGTATTTGCTGGTTTTTGATTTCTAAAATGCTTTCCTCAAGTGGTCTTTTCCAGGCATAAGTTCTTATATAACTATATAAAAAAAAATACTCATAGAAAGTCCAGTCCCCCCCCCATTTTGGTTGTGGTATTGTCAAATATGGTTGATATAAAAGTAATTTGAAAAAACAAGAGGTCCACAGGCCTTATAGGTCACCTGGGTATCATGCAAACAACTTTCCAACAATTGAATTTGATTCGTTTTTTAAACCAGAGGCTTTGAAATTCTTAATTATGATAGAGGCTCCATTGCTTATCATAGTACATCATTTTGAATATATAGCGTAGATTTCAGTCTATGTAGGAGATTTTTCTCAGAGAATATTTCATTTTTTAGTCTACATTTTATCTTATATTTATACATAATAAAGCTAATAAATGCTATCAAATTATTATAAAGCAAAGTTTTTCAACTAAGTTGCGATTGATGAAAGTACACAAATAATGATTACGTAGAAAACTTGCGCGCCATCTAGCGTTAATTCAGGTAATATCGATCTGTGTTTTGCACGCCATCTAGCGTCAGTTCAGTGAATAATCGTTGGTTTTGCATTGGTGTCTGTTGATTTTGCAAACGGGTCTGTTGATTTGTTTTAAGGTTGTATGATGTGTATTTTAGTATTTTTATAAAATAAGTTGTTAGTTTTGCGTTAATTAACGTTTTTATACCCTTTCTATGGGCAGCCATTGAAACTTAACAAATGATATACAATGCATAATCAACAGACCTTTTCGCTGAACAAGTATACATTAAAGCATAATCAACGAACAAGTACGTAACAAACATACATGAATGCAAAACCAACGATCATCTTTGCAGTACAAACGTACATAAAAACACGACAAACGAAAAAAACTTAACCAACGTGCACGCGGTAAATCTAGTCTTCCCGACTCCCGGCTCCCGACGGTATCGGATTTTTTTTTTAATTTCTTTTTTGTCGGTGCACAGAAACTCTTCAAACTTCTCAGGCACATTTTCTTTTTAAATTAATTCAATAATATGTAGAAACTTAAACAAATTTGCGTATTTATTACTGAATCAGCAGTATCACCTTCAAAAAGCGGTAAATGTACTCCGTTATAAATAAGAAAAAAAAAACGGACATCGATACAGAGAGACGTAAGTGTCGTAGATAGTAAAGGTGCATGGGCACAGATTTGAAGTTAATATTTTCTGTATAATATTACGACTTACATATTTTAATAGCATTTCACACAAAAAATATATATTAAAAATCTTATTTCATCTCAAAGTTATTAAAACTTCAAATTTTTAGACGGGTTTGATTGACACATCCTTGCACTCTAACAAATTTTAATTTTATTCTTAACACTTAGAAAAGTGACAATCTTGTTTCAATAACTTTAAGACGAAAAAAATTAACTTCAAATCTGTGTCCATGTATCTTAAAAGATATTTAAGGTATTGATATTGAGAAGATATTTCTTCTCAAAAAGATTGAATTAGTATTTTAGTGAAAATTTGTGGTGTTAATAAAAAAATGAACAATTAAATTCTATAAAAATTCATAACATCATAATGATTTGATTTCAAAAAAGTTTTTATCAAAATCTTCATAAAAATAGCTAAATCTAACATTGTACTTATGGTAAAATAGTGCAACGATATGGCCCAAACTCGAAAATCTCGTATGTGTGTGTTGGGGGAGGGGGGTAGGTTCAACTTCTTTCAGTGCCAATTTTTTTCCCTAATATACATGTACTACATAACCCTTTTTTGACCTTACTCTTAAAATTGGGAATTGTTGCTACGTACCCGTCATATGATATGCCACTGTAATGTAAAGTTATCATAATAGATTCTTGTAATATTTAAAGAATTGTGGAAAACCAACTTATGTAACAAGAACAACAAAAATTGACGAAACGGCCTTCAGGAGAGTGAGATGTTTTTCTACATTTTTATGTAAATTCTTTTCATTCATTCTAAATTTTTAAGATGAATTAGCCCCCCAAAAAGTAAAAAAAATAAGGGGGATCCGAGGTATATAGTATGGAAAGCCGTAGGGTACCCCCACATTATTATTATTTTTTCCTATATAATTATACCAAAAATAATTATCTCATCCCAAACTGAAAATCTTGCTTTTACAACATTATTATTATTTTCATGCAATAATTATAATGTTGTCTGTTAAATTGTACACATTATTTTATTTTCCCCAATTATCATTATTTACACTTTACAATAATAATCTTGCCAGTCAATGTGGACACGATATTAAAAAAAAAAAAAAAAAAAATTAAATATTTTTTTTTTTTTAATTTTTATTTTGTACACATTTTTTTTATTTTACTTCAAGATCATAATTATTCTTATTTCATCATTTTATAACAATGCATCCCTGTAATAACAATGTAGTGATTGAAAAAAAAAAATTAAATTACAAAAAAAAAAAAATTAAAACAATTATTTCCGAAATCTTCGTTACATAATCTTTGCAACAATATAATAATGATGTAAACGGGACTTTGTTTTTATTTTCAACAGGAAAGATAACTTCTTTTTTAGTGACAGTAACGAAAACTCTGTCCCCTTCTCCACAATAATTATAAGATTGTGACTGCCTACATTATTTGAAGCGTGAAGATTTTATTATTTCTAGCGTGACGGACACAAACGTTTAAGTGAGAGAGATTTTCCTACATTATTTGAAGCGTGAAGATTTTATTATTTGAAGCGTGAAGACTGAAGTTTTTATTATTTGAAGCGTGAAGTTTTTATTATTTCAAGTGTGACGGAAATCAAGCGTCGATGCGAGAGAGAGATCGTCACCTGAAAAAGCCATGTGCTGTGCGATTATAAATATAAACAAGAAGCCGACGACAGACAAAGCGCTGTAAGTAGCCTATTACGTATCATTTATGTACAAGTAAGTGTCATGCATTCATTTAATAAAGGTTACGCTTTCAAATCTTATCATCTCATGTCAGTCATGATCTATCAAACTGCAGATCAAATTTAAGAGCTAGCCTACCGAAGAAACAGGTAGTTCGAATTGTCTCTGTACTTCTTTTCCATATAAGAATGGAATTGTTTGGTGATTTATGTTGTACATATAAATAATATAGCATAATCTAGATCTATTTCTTTATTAATATTCTATATATAGGCTAGTTAAATTGGCATAATTTAAGTATATTTCTCAAATGCAGTAAAATAAAAACAAGTAGTTCAAGGAGATAGAAAAAACATTTCTCAGGAAGTGGTATTGGATTGGCTATTTATTTATAGTCCTAGGATGGAGAACAACATGATTTGTACTCCGGCAATGACATGGCACTCAGAAGAAAGCTGGCTGAAACGAACTTGGAGAAGAACAATGGAACAAGAAAGATTCCAGCTGGGTTGGATTAGCTGGGCATCAGCAGGGGCATTAGCCAAAGACAGAGGCAGGTGAAGGCTGTGGTAATGAGGCCTTGTGTACCTGTAGGCATGAAGGGTATAGTATATACATGTACTTGTATTTTACAGTTTTAACTTGAATTTTCTCTGCAGTAAGTCTTTCACATCTATTGAAACTGAATGCTTTGATTGGGTTTCAAGTTGAAGTAAAACTATAACGTAATCGTATTGAGTTTTCTACTCAGTTTTTATTTACTGTAGGACCAGATCATCAAAATACATGTACTGTCTTATATTGCAGATCATGAGATGTATGGATGTTGTCCTAAGTAAGAACTGTCCTGGCAATGTTGGAATGAAATTTACAGGTAGAAGTGTTATTGCTTGTGTTTCTGCATGTGTGGCTATGGGGGGAGGCTTTTAATGTATCGGGTATTGAAGACTCTCTACACAGTGAGAGACCTACAGTGTATTTGATTATGATTTTAATAGAGTAAATAGAGGATATTCAATGTTTTGGAGTTGATTATGGAATTTATTTCATGAGTGGGACAGGATTTTTTTTTAAATTTTCACGAGTGCGAAGCACGAGTGAAAATATAAAGCAAACCACTTAGCCTGAGTATGGAATCTGGATATAAATTTTTCAATTTTGACTTTGTACGGATTAAATCCATTCACAAGTATTGTGATGAAAAGATTTTCTAAATATTATTTTTAATGTATAAATTAAATACTGTTTATATAAAGTACAGAGTTTTGCACCATTTGTCAGATTATTATTATCAGTGATTTCATGACATGTGCAAATCAAATCATTTCACTTATAGACAATAGCTTGATTCTTATGTTACATTGATTCTCTGTTGTTTTGGAACTGAACTACCAGTTCCCCACCACCTTCGGTATCTGATCAAGGGAAACTACTCATGAGAGGGGGTATTAAAACATTGTTAATCCTATAATGCCTTGATGTGTTAATGTTTTCAAATTCATTTATGAGCATCGGTCATCTTAGTCATCGGCCTCTTTACATGATCTCAGGCCATCGGCCAACACATAATGGGAATTACCACATGGTCAATCTTATAAGTAAGTCTTTGACGTGTATTAATCTGCCCTAAAATAATTTGTACTTGTGACCATCGGTCACCTTGGCCATTGGCCTCTGTATATCTCAGGCCATAGGCCTACTCTTAAGTTTTTAAAGCCACCAGCATCACTCAAACCATAGGTCAACAAAGGCCACCGGCCCTCATCTACAAGGCCATCAGCCTTTGATTTTAGAGCTAACAGGCAAGCTTGGTTATTTTTCCTTTACAGTTTTGTTTTAATGATTGCCTTATGTATAGCACACTTTCACTGAACTAGTTTAAACATGCACGCCCTCTGTGTTCATGTTCTGTGTATACCATATGTTATGATATATCATGCCGAGTAGTTCCCAGAAGCAAAATTCAAAATCTGATACTGATTCCTTGTCTTTGTTTTATGTAAAACACTCTTCAATGCCTTTTTAAACAATTCATTAATCATCAGTCATCATGAGAAATCAAAATTATTCTATAATTATTGAAAGAATTATGTGCACATTTATTTTTTTAGGAGCTACAAAGAGTCTTGGTTTTTAGAAGACTTAGTATAAATGTTCTAAAGAAAGAAAACAGTGTGGCAAAGAAAGGAAAGGATTATTCACTCAAAGAAATATGGATGACAAGGTAAAATGGACATTCTGTTCTACAGAATTTAAAGAATTGATTTATTTATTACAGATAATGGCAGATTTACCCAGGGAGGGTGTAAAAAAAAGCTTGAGGGCAATTGCAGATATTTTACATGAATTTTTTAGATCTACTGGTCAGAGACCAGAAGAGCTTATGTGATAGTAAGGTGTCCGTCATCCGTCCGTCTGTCCGTCTGTCTGTAAACTTTTCACATTTTCGACTTCTTCTCAAGAACCGTTCGGCCAATTTTAACCAAACTTGCCACAAAGTATCCTTGGGTGAAGGGGACTCAGGTTTTTGTTCAAATGAAGGGCCACGCCCTCATTCAAGGGGAGATAATTGGAAATTAATGAAAATTTGGTAGCATATTTAAAAAATCTTCTTCTCATGCACCACTGTGCCAGGAAAGATGAAACTTATGGGGAAACATCCTCAGGTAGTGTAGATTCAAGTTTGTTCAAATCATGACCCCTGGGGGGTAGGGCGGGGCCAAAATGGCCGACAAAAGTTTTACATAGAAATATATAGGAAAATTCTTTAAAAATCTTCTTCTCAAGAATGACAAAGCCATAATTCATCATATTATATGGAATCATGCTCAAGTAGTGTAGATTCAATTTTTTTCAAATCATGACCCTCAGGGGTAGGGCGGGGCCAAAATGGCCGACCAAAGTTTTTAAAGATATATATATATTCTTTAAAAATCATTTTCTAAAAAATAGCAAATCCATGATTGGTCATGGAACTACTTTTTTTAATTTAAACTTTACAATAAAAAGCCATTTTCTACTTTTTCCTACCCTTAGTGCTCAGGTGAGCGATGTGGCCCATGGGCTTCTTGTTACATTTTAATCTCTCCCCCCATAATTCAACAAAATCAAAAGGCAAGATTGAAGGGGTAGGATTAAGGCTAAGGGGAGATAATTCAGGAAAGAAAAAAAGGTTTTATTGAGTCATTTGAAAATCTTCCTATTTTATTCATCTCATTCTTTTAAAACTGAATTTAACAAATTAAATTATAGGAAAAATCAGGTCAAAAAATGTTGATGAAATTAAATAGGTCCCATCAATATGTATCAGCATATAAGGTTTGACAAAAGTATTATTAATAGCTCTTGAAACTGGGCTAAACACACATTCAAGAAATTAAGGTCAATGTCAAAAGAAAGGTTAATGTCCAAAAAAGTGGATGCAGTTGAGAGGTTCTCTCATTATTATGTGTCAGCATATGAAGTTTCTTTAAAAATATTTTGAATACTTTCTTTGAAACTGAGATAAATGCAAATTATGATGAAGGGACAGAAATGCATGTTATAGGAGCTCATGTTAAGGTGAGCATTGTGGTCCATGGGCCTCTTGTTATGTGTTATTTTCATTGATCAACAATCAGGTGATATACATGTAATGATATTGTTACATTTCAGTACCTCCAGTAAATGATGTCATATCCAGCTTTGAAAATGTTTTGTTTGAAAGAAAAGGACCTGAAGAAGGAGAAAGATCTATTTTATAGATTTAGATGGATTGATAAACTGTCAAAGCTATTGCTATCACTAAATTTTGTACAATACTTGTAATTCTTTATCACTGAGTCTTTGAGCCTTCTGACATGATAGTGTATCTAATCTGAGAAAGCAGTGTCCATGATATCAATCTTGAAACATTTCAAAATAACCTAATATCAAAACATAATATGTACAGATTTAATAGCAGATGAAAACTCTACACAAACTGGATACTCAATGTTACTGAAATTTAGAGATGTCATACTTGGTGTTGATTGATTTAAGAAACAAAATTAATGTTTGAAATGATGTAATAAACTAATTACTCCAGTCTTGTTTTTGCTTTATTTTTAGGAAATATGTAACGGTATTTAGATGTAATTTGCATAGGTGTTTTTAACCCCCATAATTAGAGATTTGGGGGCTTGTGGTTTTTGCTCTGTCTGTCTGTCTGTTTGCAAAAACCTTATCCTTTTTTAGCTCACCGAAGGCTTTTCTGATCACATTTTGTAAGTAGTCCGTCCGTCCGTCTGTAAACTTTACACATTTTCAACTTCTTCTCAAGAACCACTAGGCCAATTTTCACCAAAGTTGGTACAAAGCATCCTTATGTGCTGGGGAAATTAAATTGTAAAAATAAAGGGCCAAGTCCCCTTCCAAGGGGAGATAATCAAGAAAAGACAAATTTGGTCGGGGTCATAAAAAAATCTTCTCAAGAAACACTGGGCCAGGAAGGATGAAACTTATGTGGAAGCATCCTGGGGTAGTGTAGATTCTAAATTGTTCAAATCATGACCCCTGGGGGTAGGCTGGGGCCAAAATAGGAAATCCAAGTTTTACATAGACTGAAATATATAAGAAAAATCTTCCCAAGAACCAGTGGGTCGGGAAAGCTGAAACTTACGTGGAAGCATCCTTGTGTAGTGTAGATTCTAAATTATTAAAATCAAGATGGGGGAAAACCGTGGTGGTGGTGGGGGGGGGGGGGGGGGCACAATAGATACAAGAAAAGGGGAAATCTGGAAAGAACTGCATCACCAAAGTAACTCAGGTGAGCGATGTGGCCCATGGGCCTCTTGTCATAACTTTTGAATTGTAAGCTAATACGATTTATCATTGAGTCAAATGCTGACTGATGTTTTTCATACTAATTGTTAGTCCAATATTTATACACTGAATTGATGACGGATTTTTCTGCCATTTCCCGATCATGACTAGGAGCACACAGCTTGTGTGACCGTTTGGCAGGGGATGTTCACTCCTCCATGGCAACTGATCCTACCTCTGATGTTTTGGAGGTCCATGTTTGCTCTGCTCCTACCGTATACGTGGAAATTTTAGCAAGAATTTTATTTTGGCATTATTAGCGAAGGCACTGATATCGCTAAAAATTAATTTTGGTTTCATTTGTAATAGCTTCTTCGGTGGCATTTTTAAAATGGCTAAAATTACTTTTCGCTAACAGCAAATTTGCATCTCCCTAAAATTTCCACTTATACTGTATTTTGTATTGTTTTATGGACTTTGAAATGGAATACTGTTCGTTATCTCCATATCTTCTATTACTTTTTGTCATTCAAATCCAAGAAAACGCTCAAAAAACCCATCCAGTTTATCATCCATTTCCTTATAAATTTAGTACATTCTTTCCCTGTTGGGTGGAATTGTTTTTGTCTTGTTTTTTAAGAAAATGAGTAAATATTACAATATATGATGTATTTATTGTCACCAAATGGGTAGCTCAATAAATCATCATTTAATATATGAGTAACCTGATAGCTTCAAATACTTAAAATGAATTACTTCTTTTAGGAAAATGGTAGAGAAAAATTCAAATAAAAATTGCATCAATTGCTTTGCTATTGGAAATGCAAATTTAAGGTATTTTATGTACATGTTAAACAAGGGATTTTTGAACAATTTTGAATGATTTTAAACAAGTTAAAAATACATTGCTAGTTAACATTAAATGTGAAATGAACCAATTGACAAAACCTAAAACATATGATATTAGAAGCTGGTCTTTTTTCTCCTTTAGAGATTTTGAAGAATTTTCTAACTTTGATTTAAAAAAATGTTTTTATTAAATTTGTCAAAATATATGTGGTATATGTTTCATTTCATTTCATAGTATAATAAAGAGAGAGTTTATGCATATTTTCACCAAGAGATTTGTTTTGGATTCAGATTATAATTTACAATATCTTAAACAAAAACATGTGCTGCCCATATACTTCAATGTTGAATTCAATATGCAATTAATTGGACAATAATTCCTGCAATGAAGCATTTTTATTTAATAATATCTTCAAATCATGTCAAATTGCTACCATGATACAATATTGGACCATTCATTACTTTGGTACAAAATATGGTCGTTATACATTGAATATTTTTATATATGCAATCAATGTAAATGCCAAAATTCAAGTTTGTTAACTCATTCAGATCCCAGTTCATTAAATGCATCACTACAAATCCAATGTCAGATGTTGTCAAAGGACACTTTCATGTACATATTGTTCAAGTAACAACACTTGCACTCTTCCGTTTAGAATTCTCTGAAATTTGCCAAGATTGTTCTTTCTTCAAAATTATTCATATTGCAAATTTTTGGTCCAGGTCTGCATACTCTTTCATCAAGAATTCTCTGAAATTTATCAAGGCTGTGTTTTCCTTACTTATCTTCACCTTGTATTTTTTTGGTCCATAGGTCTGAATTTATGATATAAGCTAAAATTCTACCACGGATAAGTTGAAACTCTCGACATCAAATTGATGGTTCCCAAACCCTGAAAAAAAAAAGTTCAAAAACAGAATTCTCATAATACATTTTTGTAATAAATAATGCATACCTGGGTAATCAAACAGAACCTGGGTTTGATTGGGGATTATTTTCCTGCAGTTTGTAATGATAACTACCATGAAAAGGAAGCCTCCGATTACTGATACTAATGGCTAAACCAGAAGTCTCTGATGAGACTGTAGCTCTGATGAGACTGTAGCTCTGATTTGTATTTGTAACAAAGGAAGAGATAAAGTGCCACGCCACAGCATGATACACCCGTCAAAAAATTACAATTACAATGTATCTTAAACAGTTAAAAGTGCAGGAAAATCATGTCAACCTTGATTTTAAGATTTCAATGATTTTTACACACCTTAAAAAATTTGTTTATCCATCTCATGTAGTGTAGGCATTAATTATAACAAATATTGCATCATTCATAGATTTCTATACCTTGCCAAATGCCTATCATATTAAACAATATCAAATTAGTCTTCACAACTTAACCTATACCTAATTAATTTTGGAAAATGAAAGGCTGGCCATCAAAGTTCTTCTGTCTAATTCCTGAAGGATCCAGATAAAGACCATGCTCTGAAGAAATGAAAGAGAAATGCAGCTAGCCTTCCTACATTGAACACATTAATTAATCTTTAACTGGATGCTTGTCTACTCATTACTCCCAAAACATTATTGGATCTGCACTATCTACCATAAAACATTTTTAAAACATATAAAACATCAATGATTTTTTTTTAGATTTAATGTCAGACAGTTAATTAAGATGCAATTGACATGGACATGCAGATTCCACCCCTACCCCCATAAAATCAATTTTTAAGATCATAATATTATGTAATATCAAAATAGTTTAATATGCAATATCAAATTAGTTATTATACCCCCCGCTTGAAAAGCGGGAGGGTATATAGTAATCGTTAATTCCGTCCGTCTGTACATCTGTCCGTCTGTCTGTTCGTCCTTCCGTCCGTCTGTTACGCTTTGGGGTACCCATCTCTTATCCGCAACTCCTCTCATACCACTGAATGAAATTTGATGCAACTTTCACAAAATCTTTATTACATATTGCCATTGTGCACCTCCTATTTTACTTTTTGATCCGACTCATATTTTAGGTTTCCCGGTCACAGGAAAACATGGACTTTTTCACCACTTATAACCATATGGGAGGCAGGGGGTATCATTTAGTGAGCTCATCGCTCACGGTACCTCTAGTTTTAATTACTTCTCATCAAATTTATTTTAAAACTTCGGCTAGCCAACAAGAGCTATTTTTAATCCAAAAGGCTTACCCATTTGGCCCAATACTCAAGGGATATAGATAGCACCGATGCTCTTACAGCTACTCCTCACACTAAACTCATTATACCCCCCGCTTGAAAAGCGGGAGGGTATATAGTAATCGTTAATTCCGTCTGTCCGTCTGTACGTCCGTCTGTCTGTCCGTCAGTCTGTTACGCTTTGGGGTACCCATCTCTTATCCTCAACTCCTCTTAAACCACTGAGTGAAATTAAATGAAACTTTCACAGAATCTTTATTACATATTGCCATTGTGCACCTTCTATTTTACTTTTTGATCCGACACATATTTTGGGTTTCCCATGGCAAAACATGGACACTGCCATTTATACACAAAAGGGAAGCGGGGGGTATCATTTAGTGAGCCCATTGCTCACAGTACCTCTAGTTCTAATAAGGTTAGTGAAATAGTTTTACATTTTTTTGAATGTGTAAATGAATAGAAAAAAAGACATTTTTTTTTTAAATTCCACTTAAATTAAAGGTCACAGTGACCTTGAAATAGGTCGCGACACACCTTCTACCTAAAATGCATAAACTGGCCAAGTTTGATGATTCTAAGTCTAATAGTTTTCTAGTTATGGACTGGACAGGATTTTTCCATATTTGGCTATAACTTTTTAAATATAGGTCAGAGCGACCTACTTTTTGTGCGCGATACACCTTCTACCCAAGATGCATCAGCTGACAAAGTTTGATAACTCTAGGCCTTATAGTATTAAAGTTATGAGCCGGACACGAGAAAAGCTAACAGACGGACGGACAGACAGACAGACAGACGGACACGAAGCCTATAACATAATACGTCCCATCTTAAGACGGGCGTATAAAAAGTAGCACTTGAACGTGAAACTATGCCACAGCAAAGTAAAGAATAATAGACCCCATAAAGGATTTTATCCTTCAACTACCCCTTGCATTGACCTAATAAAGGTAACCTAGAGATAAACCAAAGCTTTATCCGGTCACTGCCCTAATAAAGCCTTGTGCATGTATTCCGACGTTCTAAAAGCATTGTGATGTCATGTATATTGCAATGTTTACGCCATGGCGTCATAGTTTTCAACTGCAGAGATGTGCCTAAATCTGTCAAAAATAGCTTGTTTTGGAGGTTTAA